TTGAAATCTCAGTCAATTTTTGCAAAATCAAAGTAACTCGCACATCTCATTTGAAGAAAGATATTGATCTCACATTTGTAATTAGGATTATGATATTGATGGTAATTGTGATTTTGGATGTGAATGTGATAATGATCACACGTGAATGTTGCTCTTCAATTCCAAGTGTAAAAGGCTTTACACTCTGTTGTAAAATCAGCTGAGAGATCTTTATTTTTTTTGTGAGAAAATAGGACTGGAATAAGAATTTTCTTGGAAATGTGGAAGAAATTTGCATCAACTTAGATGACATAAAGTCTGGAAATAGACATAAAGATAAAAATCAATTTATGGCTTTTCATTTCTTTTCATCTGTTCATCTATTATGTAGGTAGAGATAAAGATAGACATTTGGTTTCTTCAATTACACTAGAGAAATGTACTATCAGTAAAGAATTTCATCTGTTCATAGACACATTGATCCCCAAAGTCTCATTGCACATGTGCTCTTTGGAGGGCCCTGTGTCACTGGTGGAGATTCAAGTAAAATAGACTCAGCAGCATCAAAGCTACCACATATGGTGGTGGAATCCAGGAGATACGGCTATATACCCAAGGACATACAGGACCCAAAACAGAGCACTAAAGGGGTGAAATCTAGCACAGGGTAACCCTGGGTGAGTGCCAAGCCATGGAAGTTTGGAGCTTAGGGTAATTGCCATTCCTTCTGCAGGAGTTGATTTTCATGCAACTGCATAGTGGCAAGGGCCCAATACACAGATGAGATTTCTTGGGCCTGTGATAAAATCCTTAGAGAATGGAAGACTGCTCCAAGCAGAGCTTTAAGCTTTTGGGTGAAGCTGAGAGGAATCTTCACCTGGGAGAGACATGTAACAAGTTATACTACACAAGACAAGAACAAAGGGACTTATCCCCAGCCTCTGCAAGGATTTCCTATTAGAAATCATGGTTTTCAGGTGAAGGGAGGCCTTAAAGTCTTTGTCCCTGTACTATGCTGTCTGCTCTACTGTAAGGGAGTGATGATAGTGGACTTCCTTGTTTTGTTTCTGACTTTAAAGAGAAAACTTTCAGCTCCTCCCTATTTAATATGACTTTGGCCATTCATTTGTCATAGATGTCCTCTATCTGATTGAGATAAGGGTTTCCTGTAACTGTTTCCTTCAGAAGACCACAAAGTGCAGAGGCGTGCCGGAGCTCTCTGTCGAAGCTAAAGGGAAGCAGAAGGGCTGTACAGGGTGTGGCCGCAAGATCACAGATGGCTACCTGCTGAAGATGTTGGAGAAGTACTGGCACAGGGACTGCCTCAACTGTACCTTCTGTGATTGTGCCTGGCAGAGATGGGCTCCACCCTCTACACTGAGGCCAACATCATCCTGTTCCATTGCAATAACCTGAGGCCCTTTGGTAATCCAGGAAACTGTGCTGCCTGCACCCAGTAGATCCCAGCTTCTGAATGCTAATGTGGGTCATGAAAACGTGTCACCTCCACTGCTTCCACTGCCACCTCTGCAGCAGGAGCTTTTGCATAGGAGACAAAGTCTTCCTGAAGACCAGCATGGTCATGTCTCAGACTATGAAGATAGTGAGCTCAATGACACTTTTGAGGTTCAGGTTCAGTAACATCCGACACCCAGCCTCCAGACCCTTTCGTTCTTCTGCCCCCCTGTCGAGCCTCCTGGCTATGCCACTCAGACACTCTGCCACCCCAAGTTGGCCAGCTGCTCTCCTGCCAAATTAGAATGTTTCCATTGAGGAAGGGAGAGAAGCCCTTCCCCTCCTGCTGCCACCCCTCTTTGTGTTAACTCTCCGGACACTGGGCTGGTCTGTACAGTCTGCCTTCTGTATGTAAATGAGAATATTTGTTTTGTGAGAAATGTAAAAGAAATCATGATTAGAGTTGAACTTTGTCAGATGTTTTTCTGCATCTATTGAGATGATCATGGATTTTTTTCTCTTGGTTCTTTTAATGGGGTATATTAATTTTGGATTTGTGCATGTCGAACCTTCCCTACATTTGTGGAATAAACCATATTTTATTATGATGCATGATTTTTAATGGTTTGTTTCATCCTGTTTGCCAGTATCTTATGAAGGTTTGTGCATGCTTTGTCCAGGAAGGTTATTGGCCTGTAGTTGCCTTTTTTTGCCTGGCTCATTTTCAGTTTGGGATCACAGTAATGCTCACTTCCAGGAATGACTTCGGGAATCCTGCTTCCCACTTAGTGTCATTAAGGAGTTTGGGCTGTATTGGCATTAGATCTTCTGCAATGTTCTTGTGTAATTCTACAGTGAATCCAGCAGGATGTGGTGTTTTCTTAGTGGACAGTTTTTAAAACAAATTCTTTTGTTTCATTGACTAATAGTTATCCAAAATTTTTATATCTTGTTCATTTTGCTTACAGCGCTCAGAAGTATCAGGGAATTTGCACATTTTTTTCTCAGTTCTTCAATTGATTGGTTTTTTAAAGTAATTACAAATCGTCTTCAGAACTTGACAGTCCACTGTAATTTGACATTTTTAACTGCTTCCACCTCGGTCTGTCATTTTCCCTTGTTTTCATAAGAATGGCAAGGAGTTTGTCCATTTTTCAATTTTGTTAATTCATCCAGAGAACCAACTCTTCAATGTATTCATTGTAATTTTTTAGTCTGTGCAAGGACTTAGAAAATCAATGCCTAGATTTTAAAGTCCAGAGAAACTCAGGATGGGGGTGGCCTCTGGCTATCAGGGCAGAGCCCATTCCCTTCCCATCTGAGCTCAGAACCTTCTGAGTGTGTCTTTCTAGTGTGCTTCCTGTTTACAGCTGTTTCCTAAGACTGTCTCTCACCCAGTTACTGTGGGAGGATAACACTGGGAACCCTGATGTGTAGCTGTCTCATGGCTGTTGTTAGGTTCAGGTTCAAACATTTAACTCTTCCTGGAATGGAACCCAAGCCCAGGCACTCGGCAAGGATATGGTGGGCACCTGCACGTGTGTTACCCACCCACTCACGTCTGTCTATGGGAGCAGAACGCTATGCTGTCCCTGTAGATCACAGGAACTGCCAGTCCGTTGCCCAACCCTCTTTTCTCCCTGGGACCTTTATGGGTTTCACTGTGCTTCTGCTTCTTCAATTCCTTTCCCAAGAGCCAGGAATGAGGGCCAAAGGTCACTGATTTGTCTCTGTTTCCAAAGTGTAGTCTTTCTCTTCAGTGTCTCTGTAATTTTTTGTTAGTACACATTTGCAGTCCACAATGATCACATTCATCCCAAAATATTTGTCTGTGTACATAATGCATCTTAATTCATTTATTGTCCCCTCTCCATCCCCATTTAGAGACACTCTATTTTCTTTTTTTAATTCATGTTTTCCTTTAAATCTCTTTCCCCTTCTTTCTCTCTGCTCTTCTACTACCTCTTGTTTTCCATTCCTATTTAAACAGGTTTTTCCTACTTCATTATATTTGTCACCAACTTCATTCTTTGTTCATAATTCGAGTTTCTAACAAGAGAGAAACTGAAATATTTGTACTTGTGTATCTAAATTATTTCACTTAAGATTATGGTCTCAAGGTGGATCTGTTTACATAAAAATGTTTCGAATTTGTCCTTCTTAATAGCAGAGTAGCAATATGTTGCATTCAAGCACAAATTTTTTATCTATTTTTTGTTGATATGCATACTGTCTGTTTTTACCAGCACAGTTTATAGTAGCTAAACCTCGGTAAGTTTCTGTAGTTTTCAATGTTCCTGTCAGGGTTTTCCGCATTTCTAGTAATCTATTTCTTTTTTTCTGCATTCCCAGTAATCTATTCTCTTTTTTCTCTTTATGAATTATGATTTTCCAGAGTCTGGATTCCAAATATTGAAGAGAGTGAATTGCTGTTGGTCACCACTCTGCTCTTTTCAGCACCGGAGGATTGAAGGTAACCCAAATCTCTAAATGAAGGGATGTCACATGGCCTGGCTTCCTGTTATCAGCTTGGATTTCCTAGTGTGGGTGGCTGTATGTAAACTGCTCACAATTGTCCTAAGTGGGTGGAAATGAGAGGACTCAGGGAGGTGAGGATCTTGTTCAAAGGAGAGACCACAGTTTAGTAGAGGGCACTATAAATGGCTGATAAATGTAGGATTCCAGGAGTTGACAGATACAAGAGAGGCCTCTTCCTGAAGACTGTTGGTGTCTGCAGCCTAGAAAAAATAGACTCACAGAGTCTTCCTGTTCCCTGGGATGCTGTAACCGTAACCGGCACACTTATTTCAAATATGGTTAGAAAGGTAGTCTTCAGGGATATGAAATCTTGGTCTCAAAGGTAGAAATCAACTCATCTCAAGTGTCTTGGAGATGAAAGAGTGCCCACTCCAACAGGAGAAAGGTAGAGACATGACAAAAATGCATAGGGGTTAACTTACTTGTGTTCCCACGTACTAGGACATGGTACCTGACATCTGCAGTTTAATGGAACAAAAGTTTATTTGAACTCACAATTTATAGAGTTTTCAGTTCATAGTCAACTGGCTCCAAGGCAGAAGAGCAGAGTGGTAGGACCTGATGTGAGGAAAGCTGCTCCCCACAACTCTTTCAGAAATGTAAGGTAGAAGGAGGACCCAGAAAAGAAGATATAACCTTGCCTTTGACATGCACAGAGACCTCCCCCATTTCTAAAATGCCACAACTGTTCAGAGCAAGTCAAATATAAATACCCAGAATGCAATCACCTTCAAAAGATCCTGTCTACGATCGCATAGAACTCTGGGGGAAATCTAGATTAAACCACAACAAAGGTCTTGAACCACAGGAGAGATGGGCACAGTTCTTGCTTTTAGCACTTGAAGTCTCCATGTAGGTGTGAAATGATAGGTGTCTGCACATATCTTTTGAAAACCATAGCAATCTTGGGGAAGATGAGGGACTCAATCTGAGATGACACCTGCAGGTTGACACAAGAAAGTCCATCTGGCCAGGAGACATACAGTTCCCATGTCTCACAAGGGTCAAGGTGAGGATCCCAAGGAAGGATGTTACGTACCCTTGACCTGAACACAGACAGGTGAGTGGTCCTCTGACAATGGATCTGAGCCTTCATTCATCTCAAAGCCTAGGCAGGGATGTGAGGTTGAGCTATTCTCTTAGTTCTGGGTCATTGGGATCAATGAGCTGAAGGGCTTGGTTTAATAGGGCTGGAATAGGGGCAGCAGAATTAAAACTCGAGGGTCTGTTAATCATCTTTGTGAAACACAGCGAAAGCCCCTACCTGAACACAAATCACTCTAGCCTCGACCTGTTCCTTTTTATCACTGATAGCCAAACCCAGGGAACATAGGTGGGCTCACTAACTACACGAGTATCTCACAGTAATATTGGAAGGATTTAAAGAAGTTGGCCCCAAGTCATCGCAGAGGGAGTCTTAGATCAAACATTTATCAAGGTAAGGATGGATAAGTTTCTCTTTCCTAGGGCACATGAATCCCACTGAATTTGTCTACCCGAAGGCTGCTGTGTCCAGATGTGAATGCCCTTGGTTTCTTTCCTTCCCTCGAAGGGAGTTGGGCACTTGTTCTGAGAATTTTTTTCAGGATAACAAAAGACTTGAGTCCAGGCCCTGTTCAAGGACAGCTGAGGGTCATAGGTAGCAGAGAAAGGGCCAACCAACAAGAAAATTGTGGAACTCACAGAATCCAGTCTACCCTTCCTGTGTGGCTGCAGAAGCAGGACTGTGCTTTTGGCCTGCAGCCCGAGGGCCTCCACTACTCTTATGGGAGCTCCAGGAAGCAAGCAGTGCTGGTCTTGGTGCAAAGCAGTATCCTCAGGTCAAAGCAGAGGAGGTCCCGGCAGGATCAGGTGTCAACAAGAGGTGCCTTCCCTACCTTTGTGGAAGGCGACAAGTATGTTATCCTCAGATGAGAACACTAATAGTCTCCCTGTCTCTTCCAGGCACCTGCATCCTAACATAAAGCTCTTGTTGTCTTCATAGAACATCATTGCTTCCTCTGCATCCTCTTCCTCCTATCATTATCCAGGACCTCACCAAGAGAAGAATCAGTACTGGGACACCAAGTTGTCCTCAGAAGCCTCAAGGCATCTTCACTTCCCCGGTTGTCATGGCTTCAGTTCAAAGAAGTTTATCCAGTGACAGCTCCAGCAGTGAAGAATTTGAAGTTTCTGGCATCTCTCTGGACATGGACACACCTGAGATTTTGTGCCCTATGCTTCTAGATGATAAATTATATAAATTGGTACAGTTCCTGCTCCACAAGTATCAAAAGAAGGAGCGGGTCACCATGGAAGAAATACTGCACAATGTAGACCATGATTACCGTGAGCACCTCACTTTGAATTTCAGGGAATTCTGTGAGTGCATGTGCGTGGCCTTTGGGATTGAGATGAGGGAAGTGGGTGCCCCTAGCCAGAGATACGAGTTTATCTCAGTCTTGGGCCTCACTTACAGTGGGATACTAGATGATGCTGACCAGATCCTTCCCAAAGTCAAGCTCCTGATACTCATCTTGATTGCAATTTTCATGAATGGCAACTGTGTCAGTGAAAAGGGCCTAAGGGAACTCCTGACAGATAGGAAGGTATCAGGTGGGAGGCGGTACATGGTTGTTGGTGAACCCTGGGAATTCATCACAAAAATATTGGTACAGAAACAATACCTGGTGCGTCGGCATGTGCCCGATAGTGATCCCGATCAGTATGAGTTCCTCTGGGGTCCAAGGGTCCATGCTGAGTCCAGCAAGATGAAAGTCCTGGAGCACTGGGCCAGGCTTAATAGGGCGTCTCCCAGGTCATATCCACATCTGTATACAGAGGCTTTGAGGGAGCAGAAAGATATTGTCAGAGTGATTGAGGGGAAAGAAGCATGACCAAGACAGGTAGTGCTCTACAAGCATGTCACTCGCTTAGTTACCTGTGAAATGAATACCATTGTTATTTTGTGTTTCTATAGAGGAGAAAGTTTTCTAAGTAGTGAATGGCCGGGGCAAGGAGCAAAATACTGTGCATGCTATTTTGATACTCTTCTGTTTGATTTACGTGGAAATGGACATGTGTTTTCTTCTTTTGAATTCTTGTAACATTTTGAGTAAATAAATAACTTGCACATCTTCTTTGAAGAATGAAACTGATCTCATGTGCGTGTTTATTTTTGTGATATTGACGTTTGTGATTTCTGATGTGGATGCCATTGGATTTTGGTTTTCCATTCCAATTAGTCTTTACTGGTTTATCAAACAGGGAAACCTTTCATTTTACCTATGATAAAACAGGAGTAGACTAGGAATTTCCTTGGAAATATGTAAATATTGATGTAAATAACATCAATTTAGATGAAGCCTAGAAATAGACATAAGTACGAAAATCAAATGTCAGCTTATTTCTGTTTCACTGGTGATCTATACTATGAAAAATATATGTACCTGACTATTTTTACTTTCTCCAAATACAGTAGAGAAATTTACTGTCAGTAGAGAAGCTTATCTGCACACAGAAGTATTGACCCCAAACCTTTACTGTAGATGTGCTCTTTCAAGGGCCCTGTGTCTGCAGTGGAGAAATGAATATATTATCCTGAGAAGGATTAAAATTACTCCATGGGATGGGGTAGTCCAGCAGTACCACCAATGCCGGAAGATAGAGATGTTCTCAAGGACTAAAGGCCCTTAAAAAGAGCCTTGAGCAAGAGGGGTCTAGCAGAGAGCAGCTGTGGGTGAGTGCTGAGCAAGGAAAGTCTGAGGCTTGGGGTTCATTTTGCAGGAGCTGATTTTAATGCAATGCAAGGTGGCCAAGGCCAGACCCCCCAGACCAGGTGTATTTGGCCTGAGATAAAAACCTGAGAAAAAGGAAGACTACTCTGAGCAGTGCTTTTATATGGTGAGTGAAGCTGAGAGAAATCTCTTGGTACAGGGCACAAACCAGGGAATATATACCCAGCAGCTGCAAAGATTGCCTGAGAACTAAGGATGAGTGTTAGGCGCAGAGAGTCCCTGTTGTCCCTGACCTAGTACCTGCTCTCTGCTGGGAGTGTCCACATTCCAGGGTCTCTCAGTGTCCAATTGACTGCTTTCCTGGGAGACATCTTCTCGAGAATCCAGTTTGCCTCAGTACTCATACAAAGATGAAAAGTAGAATGTGACCAGCCACACTGGCCAGTTACACAAGTGGTCAGATGACTGCCTGACCAAGTGCTTCTTCTCCAGAGCCCCTCTTTACTGTTTGCACCTGTCTTCCTCCTGTTCTAGCCAATTTTTACCTTGTGAAGAATATTATGCTAGTGATACCTAGAAATGTAATTTTGCTTGAAGTTTCTTAGAACTGCATCTGTGCTGAGCTGGTTTTGTCACTAGAACGGCCAGGGTTTTAGGCTTCATTGTCATAGAGGCCTCAAGAGCTCCAAGTCTAGATTTTTTGAAGGTGATTTGATTGAAAATTGTTTCAGAGAAAGAGAAGCTGGCAGGAAGGGGAATGTGGTTCTTCATCCAAATTTCAGGAGCTTTGAGTTGGTTGGTCTTATCAGGAACAGACTCTCCAATAAGCAATCAATTAATACATACCATTGAAGATAATATACTGGATGAAAGCTTTTTTTTTTTTTTTTTTTTTTTTTTTTCTTGTACCAGGGATTGAACTCATGACTGCGTGCTTGCAAAGCAGGCGCTTATGCCGCTGAACTGAATCCCTGGCTGGGTGAAAGTTTAATCCATGGCGGTTTGTCATGCTTTTCTGTTTAGTTTCCGAGGGCGTTGAAACTTTGCAGGGAAATACACAACTCCAGAAAAACATCATAGTATCTGAGCATATGACATTCCTAGAACCAGCTGAATATCACCAATTAATTAATATACGCCAGATATTCTGGTAGGTATTGCAATACTTTTTTTACATTTAACTGATCCTAAAATCAAAAACATGTGTTTTATCACTTTTATAGTTAAAGAACTTGAGAACTACTGTTCATGAGAATTTCTCAGGATCCCTGTGTTGTAAATAACAAGATCAGGAGTAGATTCTTATGTGAGGTCACCTTTCCATTCATTGTTCCCAACCTGAACCCAACTCTATTTCTGAATATATTTCTATACTCCGAAAAAGTTTTTAAAATATATTTACCAGGCTGAGGGAATACTGTGGGCCCAAGTCACGGAATCCGGGACTGAATTAATTATGTAAAAATGAGCAGGAGATGGGTATTCTCTACTCCCAAGGGAAATACCCAGAATGCCCTGCCTTGTACTGTAGAGTCAAGAGGGCCATGCCTGTCACTTTGCTCACCCTGGAAACAGTCCAACAGCAACAGCCTTTTTGACATAAAGGTAAACCTTGGACTACAGTGTTTAGGCCATTGGCCATGTGCCTGAGAAGCAAATTAACACAAATGGATGAGAAGCAAACTTTCCTAAGTGGGTGATAACTAGTTTGACATGCAACATGATCTATGCCTTGTCATGGCAGGAACATCAGGACAGTTTTTGAGACATCTTGAAGATTTGCAGTATTTTAATGAAACAAGACACTAGAAAATGTCCACATGACTCATGTGCAGGTGCGTGAGCTTACGTAGATGGTCAGATGCGCAGCTCCCTGACAAGCTGCAGGTGAGGCAGGACCATGCTGACCACAGTGGAGGAAGGAGAAATATCGGCTGGGGCTGAGTTCCTCCAAACTCTCAAGTCCTCTGAGTAGGTGGTCAGTGCTTCTTTGCTGATATCAAAATAAAAATTAAAAAAATTCCCTCCTCCAGTCTGTGCTGTGTCCCATCCCACAGGCAACTCTTGGTTGTTAATACGCCAAATGGCACTAGTCCTGGTGTGCAGGCATGGAGAGTCATGAGCGCTGTAGGAACAGCTCACAGGTCAGCAGACTGGTCATGAATCCAACGACAGGAGAAAATGCTCAGCCTGCTAAGGCTGGAGGTTGTTGTGAAGGAAAAAATAGACAACTGCTCATGGTGAAGAACCAGTAGCCCACCTGCTAATATTGTTAGAATAATCTGGAAATGAGATTGATTCTTTATCAGAAGCATTTGTCTATCCCAGAGTAGATGCCACTTGAAAAGATTGATAAATATCCAAGGATGTATAATCCTCTGTACAACCCCTCACAGAATGGAACAGAGTTTTTCTTAAGAAATCATATTTGTTGCTTTTGGTTGAGCATCTACTATATGATCTCATATGGTGACACTACAACTCTTCAGTCTGACACAGCTTTTTTAGACACAGGAACATTATAGTCCATTGTCCTTAGAAAGTGTCATTAGATGATCCTGTGCCACTGAAATATTAGCAGGCCAATCACTTATCACATTAATTTTTACAGGAGCTGTGAGAACCCTGGATTAATCCTCACACTCTTTCCACACAACATACAGACCTCTTTGTTTGCATGGCAAGGCTTTTCAGCCATGCACATTTCCACTCTTCTGCACCTTGAAGGCCCTGGGCAGGAGCCATCCTACGAATGCTGCCTGGAGGTTCCTTCATGATCCACACCACCATTCAGCCTCCAGAGTTCACCACAACAGTTGTGTTGTCCTGCCCAGTGTGATTGGCAGGTGGTGGGCAAAACTGCACAAATCCCGGTGGTGATGACGTGCTTCCTCCTCCTGTCGCTCTGCCCCATTGGCCCACCCTCTGCTGCACCTGGCCTCAGCCTGCCCAGGCTGGAGCATTTTGCTCTCTGTGTCGCTGCTACCACTTGCTCAGCCCAAGCCTGGATCTAGTGCTTAAAGTAACATACAAATATCATGACCCAAAGATTTCTGGTAAGCATCATATATAGAAGTTCCTCCTGTACAGAAACACACAATGAGCAAGTTATTTGTTCCAAGGGAGACCAATTATGCCAGACTCAGATTTAAAAGCTGAGCTGAGAACAGGTACTTCACAGCTGGTCACTACAGATGCCTTGATTTAAATAGACAGTTCTAAGAAATAGATCAAACCTCATCTCATAGAAGAATCACATCCTTTGAGAGGTACCCTTCGAAGAATTTCGTTGATCTTTTCCTAACGCAGTCTTCTTGAGAAAGGATGGTGTGTAAGGACTGTGCCTTCTATGGCCACTGGTTCCTGACCCATAAGAGTAGTCTGTTGATGTCCCGCAGTGTCCTCGGTCTCAACCAGCACCTGTGTATTTTTTGGTAGTGTTATAGGCCAATTATATCGAAATGGTTATGTTTAGTTTCCCGCAGATTATGAAATCACAAGAGGCTATGTATTTTGGCAAAAGATGAGCTCCTAGAGTTTGGAAGGGTCCCAGTGACTCCAGTCGCCATCTCACCACGTCCAAGTGGGTGAGGACCTTTGTAGGAGCAGATTGGAGGGGAAGCGCGGCGACAGTGCAGACCTTCAGCCCTGCCTCATCACTTCCAAGCAGCCTTCTGCTCATCCTGCTCTAAATCAGACTCCACCTCCTGGGGCTGACGACACCTACATATTCTGTCACTTTAGGGGGTCTGAAGACAGGGGTATTCATTATAAATTCAGCAGGAAAAAGTTTGAAACAGTTGCTCATGTAGAAGAAAAAAATCTAATTTTTGTACTTTCATTTGGCATTGCCAGTAGTATCAGTACCACAAGGGCAGTGTAACACAGATCTTCCTCCCTCCGTCCTGGGATTCTGGTCTCTGTGACTGTGCCCAGCTACCACAGAAACTGGGCAGGGTGTCAACCACACGTTGTCAAAGATATCAATGGGATTCTTCTCTGATCCTCATACGTAGGAGCATCACTGCCTTCTTAGGAAGAAGAGAGTCATTTGCCTGACAGGACCGTGACTCCTGTCTGTGGCTGATAGTATCAAGCCACAAGGGCCGGCCACAAGACCACAGGTAAGGGTTGGCGACTGTAGCTCCACCCTGTAGCAC